GAAAAGCCAGTTCTGGAGCTGCAGCAGTGGATAGATAAATACTCAGACCAACTTCCACCTCTTACTACTTTCATTTTGCCTGTAAGTATTGACTCCTGCTTTTTACTGAAGTGAAACTGTTTGCTAAATATTTGATTTAAGACTTAAACAGAAATCCACTCTCAATTAATTGATTTAAACAAAACATTGGGTAATTTTTCATGTCTTTCCATCACATGTTCTCTTCTAGAGTTTGTACAAACACAGGACTGTAGGGGTGAAAGAGACTGAGATAATCCTCCTTTGTCTCTGTGCAATTATATTTAAATGTCCATTCTAAAATGCCTAGCAGAAAGGTGCCATTTAGATGGAGATTATAGTTTCTATAATAGTGATGTAAGAGTAATTGAGTAATCAACTACCCGATAGGCCTAGTCACGTTAACTACTTGCTTCTCCTTCCCTTGCTGCCTTCTGTTAGCATTTGCTGTAGAAGATGGATTCTGTGGGAAACAACTGTAAACTTTTACACTTTTCTGCAAGATCCATCTTATGCATTGTTTTTGTATCAGAGGCAGCAAGGCGGGGGAGTAGGAGCCTGTGCTGCAGGGAGCCAGCTTAAAAGCCAGTTCCCCAAGCACCATCTCTGCGGTGCTCCCTTCCCTCCTTCCACCCCATCTTGGATAGAATATGGGGCCGTGAACAGGGGCTGCTGTCAGATCTCCCATGGAAAGGCTGCTGGACCTGGTGCGAGCTGGAACTGAGCAATCCTGGCTCAGTCCCAGCTTAGGCAAGATCTAAGAGCTACCCCCACTGTGCCTCTGCATTTTAAATGTAGTAAGAGCTGAGCGCACAAAGCGCCTGGCTCCTACTGCATTTAAACTGCAGAGATGCAGCGGAGGTAGCTTCTGGACCGGCGCAAGCTGAGACTTAGGAAGCCTTCCCTTATCGACTAATCGTGTAGTCAATAAAAATTTTATCAGTTATACAATTAGTGGATTACCCGCTTCTTTAACATCCTTATTCTATAAGTGTCAAATAGGGCTTTATTTTGTGTAAGATGTCATATGTTAAAGTTCTATGCAGCTTGATGACTGTGCCTTCAAGTACAGGGCATTGATGTGTTTTCATTGTTGTTTCAGTCTGGAGGTAAAAGTAGTGCTGCTCTTCATTTCTCCAGAGCAGTCTGCCGAAGAACAGAGAGATGGTAAGTATAAGAATAAGACTGAAGGAAAAGGCCATCTGAGTTCAGGTAGTTGCTGCAGTTTGAGCCATTTAAAACTTTCTGATATAATTGATCTTATGTCAAATGCTGTTAGAATTGCAACATAATCAGAGATAAAGATTTCTTTCGTTAAAAAGCTCTCCTGTAGCATTTTGATGCAATCATAGCAAAAAAAAGCTGGCTTCAGCCTTTGAAGTCAACTGTATTGGATTCTCTGGGAGCCACAGACAAAGGGCGTGCCATTGGGTAAAAGTGTGCCCTTGTAGTTTCTTAGATTTAGAATTTATTTTGTAAGCTAGCTAAGCTTTATACTGCACAGCCTGCTGCGCAGGTAACCATGTAAATGCTGAGATTTTCAGCAGTTACACAGTTACCCTGATACACGATTTTTAACATCTCTGTATTCTATAAAGAAACAGAATCTGTGCTTACATGTTATATAGCAACCCATAGATTTCAGGGCTTGAGTTATGTTATACGTTATAATTCTAGTACAGAAGGCATTAAACTGGAAATTTAATACTAAGGCTATCCTGTAAGCCCAACGTTTTAAGCATCTTCACACCTCTCTAAGTCCTCTGTTGTTAAGCTAAATCAAAGCTGATAGATTAAAGATAACAATTATTTTCCTCCTTTCAGTGTTGTTCCATTAATACAAGCAGGAGAGGCAGATGCAAACGTGGCCAAATACTTGAACAGGTAAGATGTAGTCTGGCATCTGTGGTTATTGTAAAGGGTTTAGAGAGTACACATTTTTGTTTGTTAGCATTCAAGGAGAGAACACTAGGTTATCCCTAGGAGGCACTCACTTCAGGTTAAGATTTTAACCTGCCTATGTTTCAACTCTGAGTTAGAAAAACAGTGTTCCTTGTCTAGTAGGTGTTACAACAGTCTAAAGGAAATGTGTTGGGTTCCTGTGGGAGAAGTCATTTGATTCTTGAATGCCATTTTGGGAATCATTTCTGTTTTCTTTGTCTCTTGTTTCTTTGTTTTACTTGCAACTCCCAGTGCTGCAATTCAATGTGCTGTCTTTTTTTTTTATAGATGTACAAGCACATCTGATAAATGTACATTTCTTAACTACTTTCTCTCCTTGGTTTCCAGACTTAGTGATTTTCTCTTCATTTTGGCACGTTATGC